CCTTCTGGCCTGCAAAGTTTCTGTTGAGAAATCAGCTGACAGTCGTATGGGTATTCCCTTGTAGGTAACTGAGTTTCTTTCTCTTGCTGTTTTTAAGATTCTCTCTTTATCTTTTGCTCTTGGCATTTTAATTATGATGTGTCTTGGTGTGGTCCTCTTTGGATTCCTTTTGTTTGGGGTTCTCCGCGCTTCTTGCACCTGTAAGTCCATTTCTTTCACCAGGTGGGGGAAGTTTTCTGTCATTATTTCTTCAAATAGGTTTTCAATATCTTGCTCTCTCTCATCTTCTGGCACCCCTATAATTCTGATGTTGGTACGCTTGAAGCTGTCCCAGAGGCTCCTTACACTATCCTCGCATTTTTGGATTCTTTTTTCATTTTGCTTTTCCGGTTGGGTGTTTTTTGCTTCCTCGCATTTCAAATCATTGACTTGATTCTTGCGCTCCTCTGGTCTGCTGTCGGGAGTCTGTATAATATCCGTTATTTCAGTCCGTGTATGCTTAATTTCTAGTTGGTTCCCCAATATAAGATCGAGGGTCTCATTAGTTTTCTTGTAGATCTCATTAAGTTTATCGGCGGCTTCTAAACAGTTCTTGAGAGACCTTAAAAGTGTGGTTCTGAACTCTATATCTTCCATTGACAATTTTGTCCTGTTTCTTTGTCTCCGCATTTTGTTATGCTTCCTTGGTGCACCCCCTAGTGGTCTTTGTTCGTAGTCTTATAGTTAAATCTTGATTGTTGTAGCTAATTCCAGGGAGGGTTTGACCTCCAGGCCAAGTGGCTATGAGAATCAGCTGTGTCAGCAATGAGAGAACTTCTGTCCTCTAGGGAGGTGCTAATCTAGCCTTTGCCTGAGGCTATCCGGCAAATGCTTGTGTGCAGGGCTTGGGCGGGGCGGGTCGCACAGGATCAACAGGGTGGGCCGGAGAGAGCAGTTATGGCGGCTCTCAGTCCTGTCCCCAGGGGCTCTGCCTCTCTGAGTCCCAGCACCCGCTGCAAAGCTCGGAGAGAAAGCTGCACTCGCTCTGACCGAAGCCAGACAGTCCCACTTCTCCCGTTTGAGTCTGGGTCCCTAAAGACTCGCCCGGATCTGGAGCTCAGAGTCTGCGACTCCCTCCCGATTGAAAACGCCAACCGCGCCCTCCGCCGCCAGCCCGCTCGCGCACTCCGCACCTCAGAATTTGACTTCAGCACTGCGCCTCATCTGAGTGTCCGTATGCGTTTCTCTTTCCTCCTAGTTGTAGGACTTCCACTCAGCCGGCGTTCCTGTGGTTCTGGGTTTCCTGTGGTCCTGTGGTTTTTGGTTTCACTTTTGAAGTAGTTGTTCAAAGCAGCAAACTCCGGCGTTAACCTATGCCGCCATCTTGGTTCTCTCTCCTGTAATATCTATATATATATAAAAGCCTAAGGGACCGGATGACCAGTCAGTAGCTATGAGCACACACTGACCACCAGGGGGCAGCCGCTCAACGCAGGAGCTGACAGGCGACAGCATCTCTGCAGACTGCCCTCTCGAACTCCGGAACCCTTCCAGAGTTGGACTGCCAGTTTCGGTCCAATCCCCACAGGTCAGGCTGAGGGACCCCACCTGCTGGAGGGACCCTGCTCACTCCACAGACACCCTTCGAGCCCCAGCACTGCCCCAGGTGAGGCCGGCTGGGGAGGGACTGTGGAAGGCTGGCTCCAGGGCACGTTTGGCCCATCTCTCCCAGTTCCGCTCCACCCGACCACCTTCTAATTTCCTTTCAATATGCATGAATCTGTGCACCGGGCCTTTAGTATATATAAAAGGCTAAGGGACCGTCCGGTAGGTATGACACACACTGACCACCAGGGGGCAGACACTCAGCGCAGGAGCTGCCGAGCTGCAGTGACTTGGCAGTGGTGGTTCTTGGATGACGCACCCAGAACCAGAGAGGAGGGAAGCCCGATTCCTCACAGGGCTGTGCGAATTCGCCTTTGACCGTGGGTTATGTTGTTGCTGGAGCACTGTCGGCCCGAATCTGGTTTACTGCTGAGCTGTGGTGACTGCAGTTGCCCCTTGAGCTGCGGCTCTGCCCCAGGTGTGGCTGACCCGGGAGATTGGCTCCAGGATGTGTCCAGCCCGTCTCGCCCAGTCCTGCCCTGCCAGCCACTTTCTAATTAATTTCCTTTCAATGTGTACGAATCTGTGCACTGGGCCACTAGTTTCTTGATAACAGGCAGATCCCAGATAGCCTTGGCTCCTCCTCATTTGTGAAATTTTGTTTGTCTGACCATTAGCGGAGAGAGGCACTTGACCATTTGACCCCTCATTTTCTTAGGCGCACAGGAGAGCGTGCGCACGCTGGGCACACGTGCTGCCTGCTGAGAAGTGGAGCTCATCTCACCGCCTGCACATGTACATTTGCACTGCCGATCCTGGATTGTGGTACTGGGCTGAAGAATTCTGAGGGTGTGTTTGCCGACATGTAGAGGATTGCCCTTGGCAGAGACATGGCAATGGGCAGCTCCCCTAGTGTCCAGGATGCCCCTAGCCAAGTGGACTGCTGGGTAGGGGATGGCCCTTCTGGATAAGCTGGTCGGGCAGCTGAGCGTCCATAAAGCACACTGCACTCAGGCCATTCAGGCCGCGTGTGAGATGCAGAGTCCCTTTCTCTATGCTCATCACCAGCTGCTCTGCCTGCTGCCCACCAACCAGCGCCATTTCCAGTGCCCATGGTTTCTGAATCTCCTCTCTGCTTTTTCATTTCCATATTCCGCGACAGCCCCTCTAATATCCCCTTCCTGTCTCAGGAAAAGTGTCCCCACATCTTCCCCAGTTCTTCTTGAGTGGTGCTTTCTCTCCTGCCCCTGGATTAACTCCCAACTTGGTGCACAACACAGCGTGTCTCCCTTTCCTATAGAAATCTCCAGCCTGCTCACCCTTCTAGTAGGTTGTCCAAGAAGGCTCCCATTGGCTCTGAATTACCCCCGGTGGTCCCCGGTGCCCTGGTCTCTGCTCGCATGGGGCCTGCTCTAAAAGTCGGCAGTGACTTCCTATATCACCAGAGTTTGGCCCCTCTCCTTAGTCCTCATTCTACTTTGTTTTTCTCTGCAGTGTTGTTTATTCTTTATTTACCCAGTAGATAATGTTAGTAACAAAGATGATTAGGATGCAGTTTTGCCATTGAGGAGTATACAGTTGATTGGCAGTTACAGTGCCCAGTGGTAGTGACATCATAGATGGGGCAGGCGTCCTGGAGTGGACTGGTGCCCAGGTGTCCTCTTGTTCTCATGTGAGATTTCCCTGGAGTAAAGCACACATACTGGCGAATGGGAATTCTCCCTCAAGGTGTAGTTTTTCTTAGTTTTAATGGATTGGTCACAGTGTTAGCACTGGCTGAGTCTGGTTAGTGTGGATGGCTCACGGACGGACATGCTTGGGGATCCCTGTAGACGGCGAGCTGTTGTGTCCCCAGCTAGCATCTGTGAGATGCATGACCTTCTTTATGAGGGTGCCCGTAGTCACCTTCTCCTCGAAGGAAGAGAGGCTCAGAATGGCTACTGCTGCTTGGTTAGAGCCTGAGAAAGAGGCAGCTACTGCTGGGGAGGGGGGTGTGGCTGGGTGTGTTTGGGGGCCAGGCTTAGAGTGAGTCCCTCCCTTCCTTTCTAGGGACACTCCCACGTGTTTGAAGCCCTTGCCACGTGCGTGCAGCCGTTTGTGATCAGGGGTGAGGTGTACCTGACGGGCTTCCATGGGGCGGCAGCCGACCGTGGCCTGTGCTGCCAGAGCCCAGGGAACTGGCTCCGAGCGTGCCCCTTTGTTGGCATGTTTCTGGCAAAGGCACACGCCACTGAGCGCTCAAAGCAGACTCTGCCTAGCGCAGGGTGGCCATGGATCCAGCAACTCTCGTTGTTTTCTTTTTTTTATGTTTGCTTTTCTTTTGTCCAGGCCTCCATCCTGTAGGGTCTGAGGGCGTGGTTAATTGTGGCAGCTAGATGTTTCCCCTCATGAACGGATCCATTTTATGTTTGCTTCCCTACCTTGTTCTCAGAGAGTTTATTACGCGGTACATGTCCGTCTAGGTCAGCGGTTCTCAACCTGTGGGTCGAACAACCCTTTCACAGGGGTCACCTAAGACCATCGGAAAACGCATCTATAATTACATACTGTTTTGTGATTAATCACTATGCTTTAATTATGTTCAATTTGTAACAATGAAATTGGGGGTCACCACAACATGAGGAACTGTATTAAAGGGTCGCGGCATTAGGAAGGTTGAGAACCACTGGTCTGGGTGGACTGTCTTTGACGATGAGTACTGTACAGGCTTTCCGCTCTGCCTTCCCACGTGGGCCTGCATGGTCGTGCAGAGTGAGAAGTGTTTGGCACCACTTACAATTGGCAAACAATGGTGTGTGCTGAGAGCCAGCATCAGCTGGAGGTTGGTGAGGACATGATGGTTGCTATCACAATGAATGTATCATCATCTCAGGATTTTTTATACTGACTTTCAGTCTTCACCCCCTTCATTGCTCTGTGTTGTCTGTTGTTCGTGCCAATCACAGAGCTGCAGGGAGCAGACCACATCGGAATCATTGCATTGAGGAGAAATGTCATACTTGTAATTTTATCCTCTTTTTGAGGGATTACCAGTGTCCACCTAATGAAATGAGATGACCCTCTGCAGTGGGAGTGTTTGTGAGCTGACAGGCATATAATCTTGGCAGCTCAAAAGCAGTGGTGGTCTGAGCACTCTCGGAACAAAGCAGTGCCCTTTATGGCCGAGAGACACTGCACTGCTGTGTGAGCACCTGCACCTGTCCTTACGGTAGACGTACAAGAAGTGAATGTGAGAAGGAAAAAGGTCTTACGGACTCCTCCATGCCACATGGAGATAGGAATGTAGAAATAGCACCATGTAATGGAGCTTTGAGATGCCAGATACTAGTAATAAAATACCTGAGGAATTAGGAGACCAAAATAAAACCTGATATTTATAAAACAAATAATGGTGTGTCTTTCCTTGAATCTTTTAGAAAACCTCGAATCAATTCTCAGCTGGTGGCACAGCAGGTGGCACAGCAGTATGCCACCCCACCACCCCCGAAGAAGGAGAAGAAGGAGAAAGTTGAAAAGCAAGACAAAGAGAAACCCGAGAAAGATAAGGAAATTAGTCCCAGTGTCACCAAGAAAAACACCAACAAGAAAACAAAGTAAGTTCCGGGTAACTCAGCTTGTATGTTGCTTTGCAGGTGAAGCAAAGCTATCTTTTTAATACCTCTTTTGGCACCCCGCCCCTTTAGACCAAAGTCCGATATTCTGAAAGACCCTCCTAGTGAAGCAAACAGCATACAGTCCGCCAATGCGACAACCAAGACCAGCGAGTCGAATCACACCTCAAGGTACTGACACAGACTGCAAAGGTCAAGTGCTGCTCTGGTGGACTGAGTCCTCAAGAACCAGATGGTTTTGTGCCTGTGGGTTTATAGGCTGAGGGTAGGGTGGAGAACTAGGTCTGAGACTGAGCTGCGTGAGTGCGTGCGTGCGTGCGTGCGTGGGTGTGCAATACTTTACACCACTGTGGCCAAATGGGACAGATGCGTTGATGATCACTTTGGAGTGGCCCGAAGCTTTGCTGACAGGCAGTGGTTTCTGTTACTGCTGAGGTTAAGCTGCAGGTTTTGTGGTAGCTGTGGTATGTGGGGATGTCCTGGATCTCTGTGTGGATGATGTCTGCCAGACCGCGCCTAACCCAGAGCTTATGTAACTGGCTGTTTCCTGTGGTGTTGCTTTCAGGCCCCGACTGAAAAATGTGGACAGGAGCACTGCACAGCAGCTGGCAGTGACTGTGGGCAACGTCACCGTCATTATCACAGACTTTAAGGAAAAGACGCGCTCCTCCTCCACCTCCTCCTCCACAGTGACCTCCAGTGCAGGGTCAGAACAGCAGCACCAGAGCAGCTCGGGGTCGGAGAGCACAGACAAGGGCTCTTCCCGCTCCTCCACTCCGAAGGGCGACCTGTCCGCAGTGAACGACGAGTCTTTCTGAAATTGCACATGGAATTGTGAAAACTATGGATCAGGGTCTGAAATTCAGATCTCCACCTGCCCATGCTGCTGCACCTGGAGAGCCTTCTGTGGACATCGACCTGTGGGTGATGCTGCCAGGATCATTTCTGCTTGCCATGGGCATTTGGCCACCGAGGAATTTCGCACCCTGACGATTACTCTTGACACTTTTATGTATTCCATTGTTTTATATGATTTTCCTAACAATCATTTATAATTGGATGTGCTCCTGAATCTACTTTTTATAAAAAAAAAAAAAAAAATCTGCTGTGCACAATTTTCCATGTACATTACAACTGGTTTTTGTTTTTGTTTTGTTGGGGGTGGGGTGGGAGGGGGAGGGAACTTTTATTTATTGTGTTCACAAGCTCCATCCTCTCAGCATATCCTTCTAAGTTTATTTCTTTCTTCCAGTTATACTATGTACTATCAGTTTTGATATAACTATATATAAATATAAAATTATATATAAAGGGTTATTTGAAACCAATCCATGGCAACGCTGGTGCTTGATACACTGTGAAGTGAGTACAACCTTGAACAGTTACAGACCCGGGACAGTCCCTTCTACGGAAGTGCGGACATTGCATTAGAATCGGTCTTACACGAGGTGTTTTCCCGCCCACGGGCAGCTTGGCTCTCTCATCTGTCTAAAGAGCACTGGGTGATAGGAAAACAGAGGTTTTTAAACAATGTGATCTCCCATTTCAGGACTGCTCCAGAGCCGGCACTTGCAGCGGAAGCGCTGACCCCAGGTGCTGGCTGGGAGGCTCTGTCGATCAGCAGCACCCAGCGCGCTCCCCGGCCAAGGGCTGTGCGCATCGCGGTAGTGTGCACAGTGCTGTTCTCACATGGCGCTCGCTCGTGAAAACACGGTGTTCCATACGCGATTCCACCACTTCCCAGGCCTCTGCTCGGGGCTGAGGTCAGTCTATAAATTGTCGCTTAGCTTTAGGATTAAAACGGACTCAACTGCATTTTTGGTTGATACAAGAAGCAAATCCATGACACCACGCGCACAGGGCATTGCCCTGGTGGTTTTGTCATTGAAATTGGTTTGCCTCCTGCCCTCCTGTCCCTTATGCCACCAATTCAGTTGTGGGAATTGTTTTTCTTTCTTAAAACTCCACTCCTTTCTTGTCCTGATGAACAAAGGTGGTCAGCTGCAGGCCTCGCCTCCCTGCTGGGAAGGGCACTTCTGGGAGCCTGCCGTCTCCTTCCTGGGCCTGACGATAACGCGAGTAAACTCTGTTGTAAAGTTTCTTTTCACCCATTTTTGCTATCTCAGTGGAAGCGGGGAGACAAAAACAAAGACCACGAAGGCTTCTACCCACTGGCATTTTAAAACGCTTTGCTTTGCCTCATTTGGATTATTGTCTCTTCTGTGTAACTCCCACCACTCATGTCCAGGTTCCCAGACTTCAGAGTCACTGCGGGGACTTGATGTCACCTTCCTTTATTTGGTCATAACTTAAGGGAGCCTGGGAGGCAGCTGGTTGTGAGGAAGCCCCACAGGTGGGCGTGAGAAACCTGGTATGCTTAAGAATAGAAGTCACTTCTGTCTGGAGGCCACAAGTAAAAAGAAAAAATGAACAGCTTGATTTGAGTAGCCGACAGGAAAGGTTCCTTTCCCATCTACATCAGACTCCGCCTCCCTCTGCGCCATGACCTCCATCTGCTCTCCAAGCACAGGGTCTGCAGCAGTGCCGTTGTTGTGTGGTCCTACTCGCAAACGCTCGGACAATGTCCCCTTTCGCAAGGATGCTTGCATCTGGGATGCAAGCTGTGCTTATCTTTTTAGATACCTTTTTCAAGTATTTATTAATGAACCAAAGGAAATCAAATGCTTTCTGTAAGTATCAGAATATATAATACATAGTGATTTGACTATGAATTTTAAGTCCACAATTTAATATTAGTGGGATATTGCAAAGACATTCCTTCTAAAGTTTTAATATTCCTTTTATTAAGGGTCTCAGGGAGGGTAAATTAGTCAGCCATATTTATTTTCCAGAGATATAAGGAATTGCTAAGTTTGAAAATTAACTTTTTAATAAGAAAAATTAGATGTCACCAAACTCGTGGGTTGCACTGCTTTCCGAACCATAAAGTGTTGGTGTGCATTTCAGAAACACTGTGTAACTTCTCAAAATTAGTCTCCTGTAAAGTGATGGGACTCCTAGACTAGTGGGGGAAGCTGATGAGCCAGCTACTCGGCTGCTGATTCGTGATTGCAATGCCTTGGTGCTTTGGCTTTGCCTCCGACATGAATAGAGGACGGGAGGTAACGGATGGAGGGTGCTTTAGGACAGGTGGGATGACATGGCCATTGTGATGGGGCTGCAAGTGGCAGTGGAGCCTCGGGCCCGTGTCCTGGGCCGGCCCCTGCTGCCTGCGAGCTGCTGAGGCCAGAGGTGGTGGGCACTGGAGGCTTAACTCCTGACATTGAGGTCCCTCAGACGTGCTCTGGAGACAGAATTCGTGGAACTTCCTGTATTTGCAGTTTGCCCTACAACAGGTGGGCAATGTGTAAAAACACTAGTGTAGATTAGAAAGATACATATTAAAGGGTCAGAAATACCTGGTGTTCGGTGGCACAGTAAGCAGGTTATAAAGCCAAAACAAAAAGCACAGTGTTACCCTTGCAAGGTTCCATTTGTTTTAACACCACCCGGTCTTCAGGCAAGCACAGAGCTTACCCGACATGCTCTGTTTGAGTCGAGCAGTTCAAAGGTGAAGTATCTTGACACCCACAGAACATTTTAGTCAGAGCCCTTCTGTTTCCATCTGGATATTTGAAAACAATGGCAGAAGCTTCTGGGAGTTGCGTGCCACAAAGACGTCTCACCTGCCTTATCAAGACCGTTCTCAGCCTACTTTTCTAAGCTACCATATCGTAAATTATTGAAAATTTATTAATTGCTGAATATATAATAACCTTTGCTTGTATGTAACCGAAAATGGTTTAAGAGCCAACATTTAGAGTATGACAATGGAGCTGAACAGTTTTTAATGCGCAAGCAGTTCTGTTCTTGTGTATGACTCGTAACCTTAATTTACTGTGTAAAGATGGTTACATTATTTCCTTAGCTTTGTTTGTTGGAGACAAATAGAGAATGCTTGTTAAGTATGTCCAACATAATCTTGTGAATTTTTGTTACTGTATTATACAAGCTATATTTTTCATTTGCCCAGGAAGACGGCTTGTCTCGCTTCGGAGGTTTCTGCTCTGTCGTCTTTATAGCCGAGTCTTAGGTCTGATTTTTCTTCATGCGAAAGTGTCAGTTGGTGGTTTTGTGAACTGGTCAGAAATTCGCAGGTCTGAAATGTTGGGGGGATTTATATTGGACACTGCTCTCCGTCTAGCAAATAAAGATGTTAATATATTCCTGTCGCTGGCATGTGCACGACTGTGTGATTAGAAGCCACTTTATCATTTTCCTGCTTTAAATAGAAATGTCTATTTATGAATTCTGCTTGTAGTTTTTTCACAAATAAAATAGTAAAATTTACATTGAAATCTTAGTTTTGTGTGGGAAATGGTTCCTTTTCGAACTTAGTTTGTGAACTGGTGGAGTATGCCCACTGGGAACAGGAGGCACAGGGCGTGTGGGGAGCAGGCGTGGCTCGGGGCGTGGCGCGTGGCTGCAGGAAGTGCTTGGGCAAAGGATGGCCAAGTTCTGGAAGGAAACGAGCGATGCCACGCGCATCCTTTGGGATGGGTGCAGTGAGCTGAAGGAGGCAGTGATGCTGAAAGCCTCCGCGATGTCTCCAGAGCGCCAGGGCCATCCCCGGGACTGCTGGTCCCGTCAGCACTTGCACCAGCACTGAAGGGAAGGGACTAGAAATGGCTCAGGACCCTCATTTGAAAATAGGTTGGTCCTGGTAACAGCAAGCTTGGCACGTTCCCTTGTCCTTGTCTTAATTTCCCAGAGTCAAACCCAAGTCCAGCCCCTCCAGAATCTGGCAGGTTGAAGGGTGGGGCTCATGGTGTCTGGTGTCTCCCAGGGGCATTGTGGGTACAGGTAAAGTGACAGGCTTTCTGTGCTACCTGAGGGTCAGTCCTTGCTGGGCACTGGCTTCACCATTTGGGAGGATGAGAGCTGTCCCCACACTAGACAGTGTGCAGCAGGGGTGGGTCCCAACAGTGAAAGTGCAAGGGGACCCTTTAGGGGAGGGAGGATGGGGCGGGAGGCGAGGCTCACCCCAGCGTGGGGCTATGTTCAGATGCTTGCTGGAATGCCCTGGCGGGATTGGGGCTCCATTGTGCTAAGAAGCTCTTGCTGAGTTAATCTTGGTCAAGGGTAGGAAGATGTTTTAAGCTGGAGAGTGCCCAAGCTTATGCTCTGCTCTCAGCATCTTCCTGGGCAGCCAAGAGGAGATGAGAGCAGTCGGGGGCCCTTGGTCCCCGACTCCAGCAGTTCTGCGGGGCTACTCGGAAACCTTGAGGCCACAGCAAGGAATGGGTTAGAGGCCGTCCTGTGTTGGGATTAAAAACGAGCGTCTGCTCAAACTCCTGTTTGCTGAGCATCTAAAGGAGCCAGTCCAGTCCGGCCGCCTGACATGGCTTTTGTCAGGAAGGGCCGTTAAGCTCAATGAAGTGGGCCCTGAAGGCTCTGATTTTTATTAGAAAGTTCGTAGGGCACATCTGGAAAGATGGGGTGAGGCTCAGAGCCTGGACTGAAAGGAGACATTCGGATGTGTGGGGTCAAGCTGCCTGTGCGGGTAGGAGCCCCGGCCGGGCGGGCTCGCTGTGAGGCAGGCAGGGTGCAGGGGGACACTGGGCGGGCCTCTCCCAGGGCAGGTGCAGGTGCTCTTGTTGCCACCCCGGCTGCCCCCTCAGCTGTGCCAGGCATCGCTAATCAGCACTCCTGGTCAGCGATTCACTGCGCATCTCCACCTGCTCGGTGCCACGGCCCCGTGTTCCTGTGAGTTACAATTCGCGTCATTCCCGCCTGGACACACCCACCCAAAGCCCCTGGGACGTGCACAGCGTGCTGACTCAGCTCTCCGATTGGGGGGCGCTCCCTGGAGGGAGCGGGCGAGCGGTTTGGAGGGTCAGGAAGAAGGGAACTCGGTATCCAACACCCAACTCTTGCAAAGGCCCGGCCCCTCTTCAAAAGTGGACCAGACCAAGCGGCCGGCGCAGCTCTAAATACCAGACCCACGGCCTGCCAGCCATGCAGGCCCGATGGGACCTGCCCCAGCTGCCGCTGGGAAAGGCGGCCGCGGGCTCGGCACAGGTCACCGTGCCGAGGGCTCCGGGAAACAGCACGTTCTCCGGTGGCGTCAGCCA